CTATGAAAACTCTGAATAAATGCATTTAAATAATAAATGTAAAAACTCAATTTTTTGAATTGTCCAATACTCTTTCCTTTCTGACTTCAATACGTTTGTTTGGAAAAAATAGCAATGGATACAGTTTTCACTTTAATATTTTTTAAAATTTGTATTAAAAATGCAAAAAATAATTTTTTTTTATTTTTGTTATTTATTCTTATTGCAATGATGTATTGATGAGATGATATTCTTCGGTGTGACATTCTCCACCTTCTACTTTCCTTTTCACCGATATATTTGCTTAGTAAAATACTAGGAGTTTTATATTGTTTTTAATTTTAAATGCATAGAAATATATAAAAACATAATCTCACTATTGCTTTAAATATAACAAAAATGTGTCTTATAAAAAGATTTGGCAATCATGTTTCTTTCATAATTTTGTACACATATCTAAACAGTCTTGTCATGCGGTGTTAAGATAAACATCAATCACATTTTGTATTGCAAATTTGCCAAAAGTTTTTCAAGTGGCAAATTCTTCTCGAAAGATAAATGTTATTAATACGAAAACCTCCTAAAATTATAATGATCGCATTAGATCATTTTGAAAGAAAATTCTAAAACATATTCACATTCACATATATTATTTTGTTTACACATATATCAAATAGAGATTCCCCTTTTTATCTGTAAATAATTTCTCTTTATTTACTTAAGATTAAATATTAACTTTTTTTATATACTATTTTTCCTTGTATGGTGCCCTTCGTATCTTGTGAGAAACATATATTGTCCGTGATTCAAGGGATATTTAATTGAAAAACCACAAGTGGTTATTGTTAGAGCTGTCAATATCTCAAAGTGAGATAGAGGTTAATAGAGAGGTTATATCAAAACTTGCGAATGGCTACAAGAATTCAAGTACTAATATTTGTAAGGTTATAACAATATTTATATAACGGATAGCTCTGAAGAAATCAGATATTAACATTCGTGATGGCTTGGGCGATCGTAACGTTCTGTCGCTCTCTGCTAATGTTTTTGTGCTGTTATATAAAAATCTTTAAGGAAAATAGCTGTGCATACTATCTGTCAGTGTCTAAAATGGATGAATTGTTATAAATACCTAGGCTACCGATGGGTCAGTGTTTAGACGTCGCCATGCAAAAAGAATTTGACAGCCTACTGCAATTGGTTAACACATTCTTCTTTGTATTTGCAATATCGCTTCTTTGTAATGTCTATGGTCTATGTGAGATCCTGAAAAAGTTTTGGAAAGTGCTCTAAACCTGTGTTTAACCAAACATCACAGAGTTTCTAGTGTTGTTTCCATATTTTATTTTTTTGATTCAATAAAGTAAATTAAAAAATAGAATATTTATATATAAAAAAGTTCTAGTTTAATTGAGCCACCGTGACTAAACTTGTAATATAGTAAGAAATTGTTATCGAATGTAAATTATGTGAAATCGTTTATTACTAATTAGTTTTATAATTTAAATTCAAATGAAATTATAAAAATAGTCGAGAAATTTACTGCGTTGTGAATGTAATTGTTAATGCATTTCTCATGTTTATGATTGAAACAAGCAAATAAAGTTCTCATATCAGAATTTTAATGAAAAAATTAAAACTATTTTTTTTTTAAATTATATATTAAATTATTATTTGTTTATATAATTTTTGATAAGGGAATTCGAAAATCATGATTATTTCAAGTTAAGACTCTTTGAAAAAGATCATTTTATTTTTACCGGTGTTGATAAGTCACTGCGTATTGGGAAGGCATGTCATAAGACTGCTTCTATTAATTATTCCCATCACTTTCCTTCACCTCATGTGTGATTGCCTATCACTGGCTAGAAAAAGACATAAAATGTTCGAGACTCTTTCTCTAACAGACTTGATAAAGCTGTCATCCCTTTAAATTATGAACATAGCCAAGTTTATAGTCTTGTCAGATTAGTTTCTTTATACTTGAATGGAGGAGACACGTTTATTACATTGAAGATATTCTATTTTTTGGCGTATAGACGGCATCTTTTCGTGATATCACAACTGGCCATAATTTGTACTTGCGTGAACTTTGGTGCACAAATCTGCTACTCCAATATTACTTAACGTATGTGTTCAAATATGATCCAAATTCTTTTTACGTAAGACTTTTATTATTTAAAATTTATTTATCTGAGATCTTTAAGCTATAAACAATATAAATATATGTTTTGCTCTTACCCCCAAACTGATATTACAAATTTTAGGGTAACCGCTTTGGATCCACTAAGATGATAAAAGCACTTTAGTTGAAGAGACTTGAAGTTACATTGATTATGGTCTATTGAAAGGTTCAAAGAGCAACTGCTAACCTTTATTTTTGTTAGTTTAAAGTACTAAAAAAAAAGCTTAAAAATATGAACAGATTACTGTAGAAAATTTCTATTGAAACTGCTTATTGCATTGAACAAAATGATTAAATAAAAGTACCTCTAAGTATTAAGCAATGAGGAGGAGAAATATATAATATGTTATGGAAAAATCCCCAAAGATGAATTCCCCTACAGATATAGAAACAATAAAATTTCCTATTTAAATATTGTAGAAGTTATTAGTTTTGAGCCATTGAATAAGAGATTTATTTTTGCTCAGAAATACGACGAAATCACTATGACATAATTAAAGTATATTATATTTCAATCTTCAAATGAGTAATCAAAATTTCCGAAAACTAATAAATTCGAAAAGTCTCACATTGGAACCAACAGTCAATGTCTAACAGTCAATTGCATGGCCCCTTCTCTGAATTATTTTTAATCAAAATTCGATTTGCACAAAACTTAAAATTCAGCACCGCATTTTGACATAATAAACTAATTTAATGGCACGTACAATTTGTTGTGAACCAACTCTGGTGACAACCAAAGTGACAACTCCGAATCCAATAAAAAGATTCAAAAGTTTTAACAAAAATACGAGTAATTTGAATAGAAATTGGCTATTTTCATTGCGACAGACACACCTTGTATTTCAGTTCATTCCTTGTAAGTTGGGTGTACTTCTCACAATAAAATTAAAAAAATTTAAAAAAATTTTCTACGCGTCTGACTTCCAAAAGAGTTAATTTTACTGCTATTTTATTATTTTATTTTAATTAAAAAAAAATCATAAAAAAATGCATGTATGTAAATTGTATGTATGCATGCATGCACGTGTGTGTTTGTAAGTAAATTATGCAACATTTCGGGCCAGTAATTTTATTTGCATTTGAAATACTTTTTTTTTGTATTTCAATTTTATATTTTTTATATTATTGTTTATTTTTTAATTTTAATATTCCCGGCAAAGGTGATGAAAGTGGTACGAAATACTTTGAATTTTACAGATATATGTGTTTTACCTAAAATTTCTGTCACGTTTTTGGTTTATATGGCACGTCACCTTGTTTCACATAATACTTATGTATATATTTTTATTTATTTTTATTCGTATAACATTATTTTTAATACCAAAATGTTCAGTTCAAAATCTTTCAGTAACTATTTTAAGTCATTAAACATAACATTACTAATATATTTCATATCTTATTTTTTTACTTACGAATATATAACAATATATTTCTAAATCGAGCTACATTTTTGATATACACAAGCAGATATATTTTATATATATACTTTAGTAAAATCAGTCTCAATATAAATCTTTATATATGGTATATATATAATCTGTTATAATCTTATTAATCTGCACTTATTCCTACTATACTCTTATTTATTAATTCCAACTTCGAAGCGGTTTTTAGAAAGGCTTACAAGTTGTTCTTCTATTAAAATATCTCTTCGTCTGATTTTCATTTCGATTTCTGCGAAATAACTTTTCTGAGGTAAGAAAAGAGCCAGAAGTCAGACAGAGTTAAATATTGCAATAGGTCTGTTGCAATAGGTGCCAAATGGTGCATTGTTTTGAGTTATCATTTTTACATATATTTTCACAAAGAGGTTTTTTCGAACAGCAGTGAACTACAACAACAAAAATTCATTTCATATTATTTTAATTAATTGAATCTTTGGCTGACCAAACAGCTGTTTCGAGTATTGCCAAATACCCATCATCAGTGGTCTTGGAAATAATACTTGCGACATAAACCTAATAATATTATATCTCTTGTGTGAGTGTGTAACTGGACATTGTCTACTGTTAGGTTTGGATAAAGCGTTGTAGTTTTAATTGACAATTAAATGATTTTTCTAAGCTAAGAGGAAAAAAAAACTATCAAGTTCTCACCTATTGTGCAATTGTCATGCCTTGGCAAGTATAACCAACAATAAGGCTACAATTGTGGGAAGACACTTTTATGAGGATCCAGAAGAATAATCACATTGATTTAAAAGTCGTACAAAATTGTTAGAGAAAAAAATTGATTGAAGTGATGTAGGTAGCTCTTTACTCAAGAATATGTACTACAGAAAAGCACTTGTAAACCAAATCACTAAGTGGGAGATATCTTAAAACAAGACACCTAGGGTAGTGTAAGGACCCGTAGGCGAAAAACGGGGAGTTTATAGCACACACGATTCTAAACCTAACTTCAACAAACCTGTGGAAAATATTTTTATTATCAGTGCTGATAATTACAAAAAAGTGAAAATTCTTCTTTTATTTAAAATACCTTTTAAAATGATCTAATATATTTCAATTTTTTAAATGCAAGTTTATTTTCTAATATATATAATTTACAAAATAATACAGTAGCAAATATTTTTCAAAAAGTTGATCTCAGCCTACGGCATTAATAATGCAAACGCGAACGATGACGTTCATTTTATTGATTGTTCGTATAGATGAAGTCAAGATAAATGCAAATTAAATGCTCAATTAATCAAGAATGTGTCTGCGATTAAAAACATTCAGTTATTAATTAATAAAAGCTTGTAATTGACTTGATATTATTTAACTGATATGAGATAATGTTTTGCAAATTTAAAACAATTGTCAATAACTCAAATTATTTTTTTTTTCAGAAAAATCACTTCTACTGTTATGTGATATATATGATCAACAAAAAGACATCGATGGAACTATGTAAGGAGCAACGTGAATGGTTCCAGGTATGCAAATCTTTTTGAAACAAAATATTAATAATACAAAGAAAAATTTTGTTAAATATTTCATTTTTATTTAATTTGTTTAATTTTTTATTTTAGGGTTTACAAACTGAAATCAATGATAAATTGGGCATTGATAGTTTCTTGGTACAGCCCATACAAAGACTGACCAGATATCCTTTGCTTCTGCAGCAATTCATATCTGTAAGTATAAGATACATTTATAAGATCTAAAAATATTAAAATAAAAAAAAAATCCTTATGATACCTCGTTGAATGGATCAAAGATGTTTGTTAGATGTATTATTAAGATGCATCACATATATTATAAATTTCAAAGTCCTCTGGGATGTGATATAGTTTATTGTTCTATGTAATTTTGGTTGAAAGAATCAAATATAAGAACATGCAAGTTTCTCTACAGATTATATTAATATAAGGATTAAAATGAATTTGATGGTATAATAAATTTTTTATTTATTTCCTATATTTTATTATTAATTCTCAGTCTTAATAATAAGACTGATAACTTATAATTAAGTTTAATAATAAGTTATCAGCCTTTGATTATTAAGTCTGATGCAGAAAAAAAAATTTAAACTCATTTAGAAGAGAAATAGAATGAATTTTTTATTTTATGAATTTGCTATTTTATAAATAGAAACAAGAAAAAGATATGTGGTCTCTGTTATTCTGACAGTTCCCTTCTAACACAATACAACACTTCGGAAATAACGTTGGAAATATTCGCGAGATAATACATATTTAATGTAAAAGATGACTAAGATACGTTAGGCCCCTTCGTGTAGTATTTTGGAGTGTGACTGATAGCAAGTTAATGTTTATTTTCTACAAGCAATGCGAAATGTGTATCTAGTACAACAGGATACAGGTGGTCACAAATTTGGTTCACCTGGTGGACTTATGATTCAATGCACTCAATAAACTTAGTACAAGATTTTTGAATATCCATTTTATTAATTGTGTTATTTCCTTCATTCCAAAACTATATGATTTGATTTCTCATCAGTAGTATACACGCGAAAAAATATTATATATTAAACTAAAATAATAATAATAATAATTTATAAAACAATACTTTCTTACAGGAATTCTATAAAAGTGGTATTAGCTGCAAGCCTGTATTGGTTTCCGTTTGTAAATTAGAAACGCGTATGCGTCGCCTGTTAGAAGTAGTAAATCAAGCAGAAGAAATATCCTATATAGAAGATATAAACGAGGTAATTTTATTGTACAATTACTTTTTCACAATTTGTATTAAAACGAATATTTGTTTCCAGTTGAATCTTTTAGAACAAGGTAACTTCCGCAAATCAACAGAGCTCGACGCATACAATCATCGTTCACGTAAAAAGCACCGCGCAAAAGTATTCCTTTTCGATCGCTGCCTAGTTTGTGCCGAAGTACGTAAGAAAAGACTCACCTATCGTCAACATTATGCTTGGCCCACTGTTGATCTACAGCTGAATAACTCTAAAAGTGTTACTCTATTACTTAAGGCGAATACCAAGGAGGAATATGAGTTCTCTTCACCGGAAGCGACTTCCATAACTGCTTGGATGCGCTTCGTGCTTAGAGTTATGGAAACCTCACGCATTTTAGCGGAAAGAGAAGGAAAATTTTCATTACCAATGGACCTGGTATTGTTTGTAGCTCTTGCTGTTTGGCTGATATGGCACTATTTGTATTAGTTTTTATTGGGGTAGTCATTCGGGGGGTCAAAACTAACTATATATTTTATGTTTATTATTAAGTCTCCTATAATAGTGAAAATGTAAATATTTTAAGTTATTATAAAATGCATTATAATTATAAATTTCTTTATATTTTTTATGCCTCGTTGGCTTTGGTCATGCATCGTTATCCTATGTGCTTCCACTATTATATATTTTTATGTGTGTTTATTGTCTTTTTCCCAGCTGTAGTCTTCGACTCAAATATTTGACCAAGCGTAAAATAAGTTTGCATACTGGCAAATGCTGTTCATAATAAACAAATTTATTTTTTACTCTACCAAAGAAGAAACTTGACAAATATTTATGATAAATTACATTTTTGGTAATGTCCTTGCTCGCTTTGTCCTGTTGGCACTTCTGCATAAAAGCAAAAAATAAATAGCTTCTTTACTATTTTATGTTGGTAGTTGCTAAGCATATGCAGCATTTGCAGCTTGGTAAAAAGCCAACTTAATAAGACAATTTCGCATCTTGGCGCAGAAAACAACAAAGTACATATGTATGGAAATGAAAAGTCCTTGACATAAGTACAGTGGGCAAAAGTTAAGAAATTTTTTAAATATTTGTTGGTAGTTTGAATTTCTGCGGATGATCATTTAATGTTCGATTATTTTAATATTTATTAGCTAGCTTTTCTGTTTCTCTACCGCTCAGATCAGAGCTTTTTTTTTATTCACATGGCTATAATTCGCTTATCTCTGTATACTAGTTTGGAGTTTATCGTTAAAATTCAGTTATTATTTTAACTGTAATTAATTTTATATGAATTGTTAGTTAAAATAAAATTAATTTATATATGTACAGAAATAAAGAGTCCATAGCATTACTAGATATTAGATAGGATTCAAGAAAACTAAAATGAGGCAATTACCCTGATTCTATTCTACGAGGAAACAAGTTCAAGCTTAGATTTCTTTCTTTCAGTATACTTCTTTTGACAAGTATTTCTTGTCATCCTCGTTGCGGTAACTCATCCGACTCCATTAGTTTTTTGATATCTTTTATTAATGCAGTAGCGTTCTTCTTAATTGTGTGTCATATACAGTTAACCAGCACCCCGTAATACTTCATACACCTTCTGCTGAGCACTCCGTAATACTTCATACACCTTCTGATTTGGTGCGGTTCGATGATCATCATCCACCATTAAAACCAGACTTTTTAAGACCGCTTTCAGAAAATCTATATTTAAAAACTTCGATATAAGCCGCATAATTATCTAACTATTGTCAACAGTTAAAATTTCGACCCAAACTTTTGTTTTAGTTTTGTAAATTTCGTATTTTTTTCTTAATTACAAGATTGGAGTTTTTTACATATCGAGTTTCACGGCTTAATGTCTATATTATAATACTTTGTTTGTTCTAGAGAGTGTCAAAATTCGTGGAGATCTTTTTTAATCATATTTTAATTATATGCACATAACGTACAGCCCCCGTCTTTGGCTTCGATAAGAAGTACATAGATAATGAGACCAAAATATGGATCCAACAAAAAAACACAGAATATTGGAATGGCATTGTCAGCCTAAATTACTCCAAAAAATTCTTGAATTTTGATGCCAAAAGAACAAACATCCTTATCAATCCAAACAAGAAGAGTTTAAAGACAGAGCACTCAACCTGAAATAAACACATAAACCAAATAAGCACAAAATATACATATACCAGCACAAATATTTGAAGATTCTGCTGTGATGAGGAAGAGTCTAAGGAACATCTGTTTACCAACTGTGATACACCAGGTCACAGAAGACGCATAACTCCAAAAGAGCTGTTTCGTTTACTGATATACGAAATTTCTAAATATATTGGGGTTCACCTTAGATTAAGCTAGTTGCTGTGCTTAAAGGCCTAAGCCTAGGCCTTACCCATAATCCATTACTATACCATTACCAGCTCACAAGTTACAGCTTCCAATTTTTGATAGTAAACGCAATTGTTTGTTATAAGAAATGTCCTTCTGTTTGAAATTTACAAAGGATAATATCATATAAAGTTAAGGAAGTCGTTAGTTAGTTTCTTTATATGTTAACTTTTATTGTATATTTTTCCTTTGCTGATTTTCCGGTCAGCAGATTTCATGAAGACCAAGCCAAGCTAAAAAATACACAAAACTTGGTTTATGCACACTCAAAAGAAATACAAATAACTTATAGTGCACTAATGAAGACGCCTGTAAGTATGCTTTGAATTTTTATGGTTACTTCTAATTCTTCATAGTGCCTTTTGTGTCATAGATAAATTTTTCACAACAAACACAAACGAGTATGCAAATATTTATAGAGTTTACTTTACTCGCTTCTCTTTGACAATTTGTAATTTACATGCTTAAAACTGTTTATATGCTAAACGCATACAATGGCCAGCAACAATAGCAACAACAACAACAGACCTGAGGCTCGACAACAACACATACTCGTGTTGCAACTCGGCGATACGAGTAAGTGACATTGTAGTCACATCGCCTGACACAACACATCACAGCTTGCTTCAGCTCCGCATCATCTTCATCAGCGTAAATAAATTTTTATATTTTTAATTTTGTTATGTCATTGCGTTTGACATAAGTGAATATGTAAACATAAAAAGATATTGTTATTTGTTTTTGTAAAATTGTTGCTGTTGCTTTCGGTTGGTTTTTTTTATTATCCTGCAGGATAACGCTGCTACTGTTATTTTTGCATGAATGTTGAAGTGTTTGTGCATGCGTGAATTTTAAGTGTATTAGTGTCTGTCATATTGTCAAGTGTTGCAATGTTCAAATTGTGCTTTTCCATTGTTTTTGTTGTTGTAGTTGTTGCTGTTGCTGTTATTGTTATTGTTTTCCCTCTCTCCCATCCTTTGCCTTGTTGTTGTCTTGTTCGTCATTGTTGATGCAAATGATTTGACATTTTTATGCGATATTAAATCACAATTATTTTTCTAAGTACATTTATAAAAATACTTAAGAACAGGATTTGACAGGATTAAATCTAAAAATATTTGAGAAAATAAATTTATATTATTCTTAGTAATTTAATGTAAAAATATTGTATAAATTTCTTTCTTAAAGAAGTAAAATATAATGATGTGTTTTAATTTTTATTCCCTCTTAATATTTTTTGCTTTTAAATTGATTAATTATTTATTTTCGCAATTTTGTATTGAAATTTAAATTTTTCTATTTGAAGAGATTTATATGAAGAGATTATTCAAAAAAAAAAGAAGTTTAAAAGTTTATATAATCTTGCAGATAATGTCAATACTCCGATTGAGGAAATCGAAGTTGCTTTTATTAAGAAACATGATGTCCACTCGACATGACATGAACGATTGTTAACCGATTTAATAAAAACTGCTTTAAAGCTAAGCTACTGTACCTATTTAATGTACCTATTGACGACTCTCCGAAAGCAGAAGTATCATTGTTTTCATTGGAGTTTGGAAAAAGTAAACAAAAAAGTGATAATTTTTTTATCATTTTGTTTTGTGGGTAGGTTGAATGTTTTATGCACCGTCTCAGATCAACAGACGTCGGTATGATCTGCCTGACTCCCTAACATCAATAGGTAATATACGGACTAAAACACCCCTTCTTCGGCGAGACTTATTTCCATTCGGGATCGCTTTTGATTACTTCGAGAAGGGTTCCCTATAGGTTGGCATTTCAAGGCATGCACTTGTGATTTTCGATCTGCTACCAGACCTTCACTTTTTCACAAGAAGTGTTATTTGAACGCAGTATATATATGATAAAACTGTCTCAATTCAATTTTTAGGGTGATCACGTCTTTTTTTCTCGATGCGTACTATTGAAAAAAGTTTGTTTGATTGTTTTATCAGTAAGCATTTGTACTATGTGCACCAATTAGTACCTGTTTATAGAGTATTCTTGTTATGTTCCATTATTAGCATAGTATATTATAATTAAAAAAACTGCATATCACATCGTGTAGTGGCGTGCTTAAAAGATTGTCACTTTAGCGTTAAAACTTCAGTTTTTTCTATCTATATGGCGCACAATTTTGACTTTATATCAGTGAGATATCTATGTTATGGAAACATATAAATGCTAATATTTAACAATACTAAAAATAGTTATTTTCAGAGGCCGTATTTTCTTCAGAGTTTGCCTTAACACTTATATTGTTATTCTTAAATCACACACATTAGTTTTTCAAAGTTCACATATCTAAGAAAACCAATTAATTCTCTCAACATTATTTAAAGTTAATACACATTATATTCTAAATAGAATTATTTAGCTAACATAGTCAACAATAGAACAAAGATTCTTAATAAAATTTCTATTATTAGTTTATCATTGTTATGTGTATTTTATGCATTTCGTTTATATTCAAGAAAATTAGAATAAAAGCCTTAAATAAATCGACATTTAATGATTACTTTACGTTTAATACAATTTACTTCTAACATTTATTTTAAAATAAAAAAAAAACGTACACAACTTTAATTTCTGCGATGGTATTTTCGCAGAATTTTGCAGAATTTTGCATAATATAGATTAATGTAAGTAAATTGCCTGAGAATATGAAATGCTCTTAAGAAAATCATTAAGCATTTTGTTCATGTTTCATTTGATAAATAGAAGTGCAAAATAGGACAAGAAAAAGAATTAAATTAAATAAAAAGCGATGGTAAGAAAAATGTTATATAAATTTTCGCACGTACACAACTCAGGCATCAACAGTTGACAACATATTTACCAATTTGCACTAAACACATTCACCCTCTTCACCCTACACAATACAGCCTATTAAACACGGTCTAAAGTATGACTTGCTTAAGATGTATTATAAGTTATAGAAAGAGTATAGTGAAACAGTGGGTAAGAAGAGGGTAAGAATTTTGGAGAAAACAAATAAATTTACACACTCTGCCTAACGTAATTTGCACAACTGTTGCTAATCCTTATTTATGGACACAACCCCCCACAATGCTTTTCACTTCCAATAAGTTTTCTTTAACTGAACGCATATCAAGACCTAGAATTCATAGAAATTTTCTACTAACATTTTTACGCATTTTAGACACAAATTTCATTTATTCTTTCACTTATTTTTATCTACTTCATTACATTTTTACATTTCCTTTGCTTTTTATACTATATTTTTCATTTATGTATGATTTTTCGTATCCAAAAAATATCTCAGCATACTTCCAGGCAATTCATGATGTAAAAAAAGCGAGCACATATCACATGTACGCACACAAATTATACGGCAACGTATAAATTATCCAATTCACGCTCTACACACTCACACATGCTTAACCAACACAGCAAATGCCATTTTGTATTGTTATTTTATTTCGTTGTTGTTGCTGTTGTTGATATGCTGTATCAGTCAGGCGTTCGTAACAATAAGTTTGTGCATGTGTGTTTGTTTAATTGTGTGCTTTTGTGGATCCTTTAGGCGCTGTACTCAAGTAGAAAAATTGTGTTATCCTGCCACACATGTAAATGCTGCACTTAGGCACGCACTTGTGCCCTTTTGTTAGAAACAAATACTTTTTGTTGCTTATGTTTAGTACTTACTTAAAAAACAAGCAGCCGGCTAAAACTAAATGACATGTGAAAAAGAAGTATCACTTGAGGTGTAACAGCGGTTCCGAAATATAAATAAATACATTGTGTTAAAAGTAAGGACATAACCTTCATGGTAATAACTATATATATTTCAGCATCTATGTACGAGTATGTTGAACGCTTATTTAGAACTGGTTTTACACAGAAACTCTAATTTTTCTGATAAGTTGACACCTATGAGTGTCCAATTTGAATTTATAATGCTATTAGTCTATTTTAGCTAAAGTTTAATAATTTGTAATAAATATGATCCCATTTTAAAACAGTTTTAAATAAACTTGTTATAAAATCTATAAAATTGAATAATCTTCCCAGAAATTTGTAAACGTTAGGTGTTTACAAGTTCCTGGGAAGATTGTTTCATAAACTCTCAATTTTTTTACTAACATATACCTCTTTGGTTTCCAAGTAGTTATAGGCCGTGTGCGAGTTCGAGTTAATAGAGATAAAGTAAATTGAAATTTCCTAGAAGTTTTTTGCACTGCATTTATGTAAATATTTATTTATTTTTGGTTAAAACTTTTCAAATTTATTTATTTATTTATTAAACATCTTATAAAATTTTCACAATGGCAACACCTAATTCACCTAATTTTTATCTAATTCATCCTAATCGAAATTCTGGTAAATATCAACATACGCTGCCATACCGACATGATTCACTTTTCCCTCAATTTACCATCAATTTACACGACTCGCACACGGCTGTAATAAAAAGTTTTACTCTAACTGGGAAGAAAGTTTGCATATATGTAAGCCGGTGAAGCAGTCAGGTAGAAGCCGACCAAGCAGTTAAGTAGTCAAGCAGTAGTAGTAGGTTAAGTTGCAGTCAGCAGTGGGCAGTCAAAGAGTTATGGTCGTGAGTACGTTGCGTGTATTTAATTCTCTTAATTCTATTCTATTTATTGTTAATCTTAATAAAGTCATTTAAATTATTAATATTAATTTGAGCTTATCTTCTACATATGTTATATGTGGTTATTAAAAAAAGTATGCCAAGTCCTTTTCGTTTCTTGATATTTATTGTGTTATTTAAACCTTTTTGATTATATGAAAATATAGAATTCTTTACATTATTTAAGTATTATTACTTTGTATTATTATTTATTCAAGTTTATATACATACAGTCGAATATTTAAAACTTGCCAAAAACTTGTCCAATGTGTACTGCGACATAGTGTGACGAAGCGGTCGTTTATTAAAAGCAGGTTGAAGTTTGTAGTCTAAGAATTAATTATCGTTTATTAATAATAGTTTGATATTTAATAAATTAATTATTGCATGTTGGAGTTGCTTTAAGTAATGACGAAAAATCATATTCAAGTTCAAGTATCGGAGAAAGAGTTTAACACTAAATGATATTTCAAATATTCAATTATTTGAAAAAATCAAAAAATATTAATACAACAAAGTATTATTCTGTACTTGAATAAGTTTGGGTAACACTGATTTTGAACACAAATCAACTCCAAAGAATGTGTGAAATTCTCTGATGACAACTGATAATGGATCGAATTATATTTTGACTATACGAAGACAAAATAGAAAAAATTGCACATAAGAAATCCTTATACCAGGAACGTGTGAATTTATATTTTATGCCACAAACAATAACACAAATACTTACACAGTAGAGCTTATCCTCTTTGTATTCCTTCCTACTACCAACCATTGGCATTGTGTGAGTGAAATCAGAGAACACCAAGAGCAGCTTACGAGGAAAGTACAATTGCCAAAAAGCCTGCAGGCTACATGACGATAATGTACACATCAGTGTAGATTTGTGTGTGTGAGTCGTAATACAAAATGGTATCTCACATCTACTCAAACACATACCATACTAGTACAATGTGGAAGCGGTATGCGTGGTACAATTGCAAATGCAACGCAAGGCGAAGTAATGTTGCGACGATAATGCGCCACTGATGGGATCAAATCACGTATGAATTGGGAAAATGCTGGCCTGAGGTTAAGTGAAACCAACTGAGCGTTTCGGTTGAATTTTTGACACTTGAAGCGCAAAAAATAAATAATTCCGTGAAAAGAACACTAAAGGTTTAATACTGAAGCAATTTGAGAGGAGTGGCAAAGTTTAGATGAGATAATGAGAAAATTAATTTTTTTTAATAAAAGTTT